GCCCCTTGGATTCAAAGGGACAAGTATACAGTGAACCTGGATTCGGGGCACACACTCTGAGAGGTACTGGTGCACTTACAGACACAAACCAGGACCATTGAGATCAGCTCTTGCATGGACAATTCTGGACTTACAGACTGCACAGATGCAATGGAAAGGTTACAGATTTAGACTGGACAGATGGAAATAAAAACTTCTGATACATGGTAAAAACATGACCAAGAGGGACTTTCAGTCAAGACGACGGTGGCGGAGGTAAACGTGGTATCGCATCCTCCCACAACCACATCGAAGTTACAACTAAACTACAGAACAACCATCATTCAAAACCGCCTGAAATCAAGCTGAATGGAAGTCCTACAACTACGGAATTAAAGGAGCAGCCACATCCAGACTGGTAGGAGGGGCAGAGGCACGACGGGCTGGTCCCACACCCACGTGCAGCAGATAAAAATCAGGAGGACACCTTGGCTGTGAAGGTCCTCCCTGAGGACTGAGGGGTCCCCGTCCCACACCAGACACCCTGCTCAGAGTTGCAGTGCCAGGAAGAGAAGTCCCCATAACTTCTGCCTGGAAAAACCAGCGGAAACTGAGGCTCAGGGAAGCTGATGCGGCTGGAGCCCCAGGTAGCTCCTTAAAGGGCCTGCACATGGACTTATCGGACTCACTCCCTCTAAACTTGGAGGGGAGGCAGCTCGAAGGGCACCAGAGACATACAGGGAAGAACTGAGCTGTTTGGCACTGGAGCGAGGGCTGGAGAGGGGGCTTTCTCCGGGACAAACGTACTGTCTGAGGCCTTTGTTCCTTTGGTGAGTCCTGCCCTGGGGTGGCAGACAGTCACCATATCTGGGACTCCAACAACCTGGCTCACACTGGTAGCCCCGCCTTGATGACTCCCTGAGGCCCCACCCCACCCAACTTTCAGGCACATCCAAGCTGTGGCCAGTTGCTTGGATCCTGCTTCAGGTTTTCCTAAATCCTTTCAAACAAGCAGCATCTGGTCTCAGATAGCCCCATACCTCTCCTTAAGTAATACACAGAAACCAACACAGGGAGGCAGCCAAAATGAGGAGACAAAGAAACAGGTCCCAAATGAAAGAACAGAACAAAACCCCAAGAAAAGAACTAAGCCAAATGGAGATAAGCAACCTAACAGATGCTGAGTTCAAAATACTGCTTATAAGGATGCTCAATGAACTTAGTGAGAACCTCAGCGAACTTAGTGAGGGCCTCAAGAGCATAAAAAAGGACCAGTCAGAAATAATGGATGCACAATCAGAAATGAAGGAGGCATTAACTGAAATAAAGAATAATTTACACAGATTCAATAGTAGAGTACGTAAATCCAAGAAGCAAACCATTGATTTGGAATATAAGGAAGCAAAAAACACCCAAACAGAACAGCAAAAAGAAAAAAGAATCCAAAAAAATGAGGATAGTGTAAGGAGCCTCTGGGACAACTTCAAGCATGCCAACATTCGCATCTTGGGGGTACCAGAAGGAGAAGAGAGAGAACAAGAAATTGAAAACCTGTTTGAAACAATAATGGCAGAAAACTTCCCTAATTTGGTGAAGGAAACAGACATACAAGTCCAGGAAGAACAGAAAGTCCCAAACAAGATGAACCCCAAGAGGCCCACACCAAGACATATCATCATCAAAATGCAAAAGGTTCAAGACAAAGAGAGAATCTTAAAAGCAGCAAGAGAAAAGCAGTTAGTTACCTACAAGGGAGTTCCCATAAGGCTGTCAGCTGATTTCTCAAAAGAAACTTTGCAGGCCAGAAGGGAGTGGCAAGAAATATTCAGAATGATGAAAAACAAGAACCTACAACCAAGATTACTCTATCCTGCAAAGCTGTCATTTAGAATTGATGGTCATATAAAGAGTTTCCCAGACAAGAAAAAGCTAAAGGAATTCATCACCACCAAACCGTTATTATATGAAATGATAAGGGTCTTTTTGAAGAAAAAGATAAAATATATGAACAAACAAAATGGCAATGAATACATATCTATCGACAATGGACTCTACAAACAAAATGAACAGTCAGAACAGAAACATTCTCATAGATACAAAGAACATTTTGTTGGTTGCCAGATGGGAGGAGGTTAGGGGGAATGGGTGAAAAAAGTGAAGGGATTAAGAAGTACAAATTCATTGCTAGACTGACAAACATCAAAGGGAAAGGGGTTGGGGGTGGGAAGAAATAAACCAAAGAACTTATATGCATAACCAATGGACACAGACAATAGTGTGGGAAAAGGTGGGAGGGGGATGGGAGTGGGGAGAAGGGGGTCAATGGGGGAAAAATGAGGAACATCTGTAATACATTCAACAACAAAGATAAAAAAAAAAAAAAAAAGCATGACCAAGAGACTGGAAACCAGAAGGAGTATAGATAACTGCAACTGAAAAATCAGACACTTGAGTTATCAAGCAAGTAATTTAAAACTTTAAATAATTATGATTAGTAATTTATCAGCCTTAAGCAGTCATGTTCTCCTCACAGCTTAAGGTCCCTCGTTTGTAAAAGAGGTTTATTTATTTATGTATTTATTTTTCTTTATTGATTTTAGAGAGAAAGGAAGAGAGAGGGAGAGAGAGATGGAAACATTGATGAGATAGAACATCGATGGCCGCCTCCTGCACACCCCCACTGGGGATTTGGCCCACAACCTGAGCATGTGCCCTGATCAAGAATTGAACCGGTGACCTCTTGGTGCATAGACCGATGCTCAACAACTGAGCCACACTGGCCAGGCTGTAAAAGAGGTTTAAATAGATCATTTTGGATTTTGTGTGGAGATTAACCATTTCCAACTCTTTCTAACATGACTGGTACTCAGTGTTGGCTGGAAAAGGTTAGGATGGGGCAGTCATAGGACAGTAACCCCTTTTCTTCCTCAACTTCTCTCTCCACTCTTGTCCACTTTTCTCCTCTGGCTCCTGCACCCTACCTCTCCCATCTCTGGCTCTCTCACTGTTCTCTCCTGCTCTCCATTTGGAGCTTCATTTTTCCCTCTTAAGGTTACAAAAGAAACAGGCGGTAGGTTGTCCATGAACTGTTTGCCCGCTCGAAAGAGGTCTGAGAATGCCTAGCTTGCAAATGTCTTTATCTTTGAAAACAGTTCTGGTACCCACACTGAGGCACCAATAGAAAAGGATTCAAAACATTGGCCCACTGATGGGCAGTACCAGATGGGCTCAAGGGAACCACAGAGGCACTGAAGATCTGACTGGAGCTGAATATGCACCTAAAAATGCTTTGGTGAAGGGCAGGGAGGCAGCTTCCCACTGAACACAAACTTGGTTTCCTCTAAAGCATAGAAAAGGTCTGCGGGAAGGGGGCACAAACACACAAATATAAAGAAAACAGGAGATAGGCAAAGACCACCTCCCAGATACCAACAAAATGTTGGAAGATGGAAAACAGATGAACCCTGGGGAATGACTGAGCCATCTAGACAGAGCCTAAGCCCCAGAGGGGACTGTCTGAGCCAGAAGCCAGCAAATTCACACTGCAGAACTCCCAAACATCTCAAGCACAAGCAACACCAGAGACTGAGGAAGAGGAGAGTGAGGCCTGGGGCTAAAGCCAGAACTGATGGAAGATCTGTATGAGGAGCAGTTAGGCTGCCCCCAGGTCCTTCTTTTTTTTTTTTTTGGTGCTACGTGCCCCTAGCGGGAACCAAACCCAGGACTCTCTGGTGTGCAGGCCAACGCTCAACTGCTGAGCCAAACTGACCAGGGCTCCTTCTCTTTGACTGTCCTCCACGCTGCAAGACAAGCTATTTCCTGTCCTTCACCCGGGCAGAGACTTGAGCTTTACTCTCAGCGGAAATTGAGGCAGAGAGACCATGGTGGATACGAGCATAGGAGGGCCAGCTGAGAGCAGGACTGAAGAACCTACACTGAAAACTTGGACTTGGTAAAAGTTGACATGTTGAATTTGAGACTCTCTTGCTCCCTTATCATGCTTGGTTCAGGAATTCTGACATTGAGGCTTATATCCTCTGTGGTAGACAGAATGACGGCCATTCAGATCCCTGAATCCTGTAAATATATTACCTTACATGGCAAAGGGAATTGCAGATGTGATAAATTAAGGATCTTGAGATATACAATAATGTATTTTTGCAATTTTGAGCTGGGAATTATTCACCCCCCCCCCATTTTATAGTAGTAATTATTGCTCTCCTTTTTTTGATTAATCAAAGGCATATTTATTAGAGCTTTGCCAGTCAAAACATTATCATATTGCTGTATCATCACACTGAATTGATGTAAATTCAACCCAAAGAAACAAAATTTGCCCAGCTGGTGTGGCTCAGTGGTTGAGCATCAGTCCATGGACCAAGAAGTTGCTGGTTTGATTCCTGGTCAGGGCACATGCCCGGGTTGTGGGCCCGATCCCCAGTTGGGGGCATGCAGGAGGCAGCCAATCGATGTTCTCTCTCATCAGTGTTTCTCTCTCTCTCTCCCTCTCCCTTCCCCTCTCTCTAAAAATCAATAAAAATATTTTTTTAAAAAAGAAAGAAACAAAATTTGACCTTTTAGTTAGTCCATGTAATCTTATTAAAGATAATATTTTTCCCCCCTGGCCGATTTGCCTCAGTGGTTAGAGCATCAACCCGAGGACCAAAGAGTCGCAGGTTCAACTCCGGTCAAGGGCATATACCTCGGATGTGGTTCATCCCCAGCCCTGATCAGGGTTGTGCAGGAGGCAACCAGTTGATGTGCCCCTCTCACTTCAATGTTTCTCTCTCTCTCTCTCTCTCCCTCTCACTCCCTTCCGCCCATTCTATCTGAAGAAAAATAGAAAAATATCCTCAGGTGAGGATTAAAAAAAAGATAAGTGTTTTCCTTTCTTGGAAATATGTAAATAGCTCCTAGATCTCATTATCATCATTTAGGAACGTGAGGTCCTACATATGTAAATCACATAAATGGAGTCCAATATAGATTTGATAATTTGTTTCTTCTTTTCTTTTATCAAGGTCAAGCCACAGCTTGAAGAAAAAACAAATGAAACGTACGAAGAATTTGAAGCTGTAGAATACAAAACCCAAGTGGTTGCTGGAATAAATTACTTCATCAAGGTTAGAGTTCATCATCTACTTTGGCACCAAAGGACATTGTATTTCTCACTTTATGTGATCTTGCCTGTCATCTCCACCATATAATCTGTTCCTCTCCTTGTCCTAAATCAAGATACCCATATAGCATACTTCCCAAGCAGTAAACTCTCAAAATCAATAGCTGACGGTATATTTATATTATATTTTTCCTTTTTTGTTAATCCTCACCCAAGGATGTTTTTCCATTGATTTTTAGAGAGAGTAGAAGGGAGGGAGAGAGAGAGCGAGAGCGAGAGAAATACTGATGTGAGACACATCTATTTGTTGCCTCTGCACAACCCTGACCGGACCCGGGATAGAACCTGCAACCCTTAAGTCTTTGGGGTGGGGGGCTGACGTGCTAACTGCTGAGCCAAACCGGCCGGGTTATATCATCTTTTTCTTGTTAATTTAGAAAGCCTTATATTGGTTCTTAACTTAATTTCCAGAAACTGTATAGAAAAATATTTCATAGAAGTTCAGATCATGTTTAGATTGTGGCTACGGCTGCTTCATATGTGAAGGGGGAGCCTGAAGGCATGGGCTGGACCAGCTGCTCTCTTGAAGTTTATTCCACCTCAAAGCATTGTGATTCTCATGTCTAAATTAAGTGGACTTAAGGAATGACTTGAATTATTAGCTGGGAAAAGAATTTAAACCACTTCTGCCCTTTTAGCATTTTGTAATTTAAGTAATTTTTGCAATTCAAATAAATAGATTCAACTTGTGGCCCTGAAGGTATAGTTTTTTTTGCTTGTTTTTTTTTATTGATTTTTTTTTAGAGAGAGGAAGGAAAAGGGAGAGATAGAAATATCAATGAGAGAGAACATTTATTGGCTGCCTCCTGCATACACCCCACTGGGGATTTGGCCCACAACCTGGGCATGTGTCCTGACTGGGAATCGAACCGGGGACCTCTTGGTGCCTGGGTCAATGCTCAACCACTGAGCCACACCGGCCGGGCTGAAGGTATAGTTTAAAACAGTGGACCATTAAAAATATTTTTAAGCCCTGGTCGGTTTGGCTCAGCTATTAGAGCGTCATCTCGAGGACCAAAGAAAGGGTTGCTGGTTCAATTCCAGGTCAAGGGCACATGCAAGGAGGCAACCAGTTGATGTGTCTTTCTCACATCGACGTTCCTCTGTCCCTCTCTCTCTCCCTCTTTCACTCCGTCTAAAAATCAGTGGAAAAATATCCTCAGGTGAAGATTAACAAATAATAATAATAATAAATTTCATATCTATATTAAAAAATTAAGTGATGTATTGATCAGTTCCAAGTGAAGAAGAAACTTATGTAGTTGTTGAGAGGGAACCAATTCAACCATAGATATTTGGGAGCTATTTTGTCCCTTTGTATTGAGAAGATGAAAATTCTGATTTAATAAATAATAACAGCAGACATTCAAATGCATTTACTTAATCCTTACTAAATTATTTGACCAGGGCACAGCCTGGTTTATTTCTCTTTAACAAACAATTAATTACTTAAGAAATAAAATTTAAAAATTTAATGTTTTTAGCAAAGAAAATAAAATAGGTGGTGCTAACCAGCTCAGCATGAGAAAATTACAATACTGGGTTACGTAAGTGGATCAGCCCAGTTCTGCCAAATTTGAGCTCCTGAAATATGCCAGGCCCAGGGTGATGCTCATGAATGATAGCCTGCCTTGTGCTCAGAAAGCAATCTGCTTTCTTCATAGCTGAAAAGAACACTTTCCAAGGAAAAGATAATTTTGTTCAATAAGAAACATTCCATCAAAATTGGGATCATTAATAATTTATAATTAATCTAAGTGCATAACTTTCCCATGTTAATTATCTCATGTATTTCTTTAAAAACTCATCAGAGCCCTGGACGGTTTGGCTCAGCGGTTAGAGCGTCGGCCTGCGGTCCAGAGAGACCCGGGTTCGGTTCCCACTGGGGGCACGAACCTCAGTTGCAGTTTGTCCCGGCCCTGGTTGGGTTATGTGGGAGGTCGCCACTCGATGTGTTCCTTTCATGTCAATGTTTCTCTCTCCCTCTCTTCCTCTTTCTCCCTCCCTCTCTATCTGAACAAAAAAATGGAAAAATGTCCTCAAATGAGGACTAAAAAAAAACTCATCAGAAAACGATCTTAAAAATTTTCTCCCTTAAGCGCAGCCGGTGTGGCTTAATGGTTGAGCATTGGCCCATGCACCAAAAGTTTACCAGTTCGATTCCAGGTCAGGGCACCTGCCCAGGTTGTGGGCCCAATCCCCAGTGGGGGCATGCAGGAGGTGGCCAATCAATGTTCTCTCTCATGTATGTTTCTCTCTCTCTTTCTCTCTCGCTTCCTCTCTCTCTAAAAATCAAGAAAGAGCCCTGGCCAGTTTGACTCAGAGGTTAGACCATCGGCCTGCGGTCTAGAGAGTCCCGGGTTTGGTTCCCGCTAAGGGCATGTACCTCGGTTGTGGTTTGTCCCCAGCCCTGGTTGGGTCGTGCGGGAGGCAACCAACCACTCGATGTGTCCCTTTCACGTCAATGTTTCTCTCTCTCTCTTTCTTCCTCTCTCTCCCTCCCACTCTACCTGAACAAAAGGTGGAAAAATGTCCTCAGGTAAAGATAAAAAAGAAAAATCAATAAAGAAAATAAATTTGTTTTTCAATTTCTTTCCTTAAGATCACCTTAACCACAGTCTCTTCACTTGCCTTCCCTTTTCTCCCCCTCCCTCCTTCCTTCTGCTATCAAATTTCTCCTACTGGTTTATAGCCAGGGACCCCAGTTCCCTGAGGCTTTCTGTCAGTCTAGCTGTTAATCACTTTGCTCTGAACCACTCTCTAGATTTAAGGTCTTGCTGGTGATGTGACCTTCTCTGTTATTTCTCAAGTACCCATCAAGAGGCAGGTGGTAAAAAAAAAAAATGGATTGTAAGCTTTGGTCCTGGGTTTGAACCCTTGTCTGACTTGTTCTACCGATCAAAACCTGTGAAATTGCAGCTCCTCATCTTCTCTGAGCCTTCATTCCCTTTTCCGCACAAAGCAGATAATAACCTACTTTTCAGGATATTGTGTGGAATAAATGAACCAAAAGTTTACTGAGCACATAGAATGTACCAGGCACTGTTCTCAGAGCTGGACGTGCATTATCTCATTTAATCCTCTCAACAAATCTATTGGATAAGTATGAGTATTTGTGTGTGTGTGTTACTGATGAAACGATTGAGCCCTGGAAAGGTGAAGTAACTAACAAAGGTCACACAATGGAAAAAGCAGAGCCAAGGAACTCTGATGCTTAACCATTGCCTTTAATAATATATGCAAACATTAGTGTCCTGTTCCAAGCACAGAATGAATGCTTTTAAAAGGTTAGACTGTAGAGTGAAAAGAACGTAAGTGTTGGAGTCTGGATTTGAATTGTGGTTCTGTCACTTATTAGCTGAGAGATTTATGGAAAATTACTTAATTTATGGAAAATTACTCAATCTCCCTGAATCTGCTTTGCTTCTGCATTTGTAAAATCATCATCAATCCACCTTTCTTTGGGCCCATAATAAAAAATAAATGTAATCATGTATGTAAAATGCTCAGTATAGTATCTGACTCAGAGTAAACATTTGATAAATGGCATGTTTTAAAATTAGGTTAGGAAGGGACATGAGAGCACAATAAATATTACTCTAAAGCAACACTTTTATCGTCTCAACCAAGATCAGAAATGGAAATTCTTACCATGATTTCTTAGGTCCCAAATTCATGCCCAAACTACTATTTCAATCTTTATACCAATAACTTCCCAGCAAGATCCCTTAACTTTAGAAGGGAGATCAGACTGTCCACCCCCTGGGCCCTGCTCAGTCCTACCAACGGACATTGATAACGTAGGTTCTAATATAGATATGAGAACCACAAATCTCAAATTCTCTATGACAATTCTGCATTTCTTCTCCCTTCTTAAATCATGTGGCAAATAAACTGTCCCAATTTGGGAGTCAGAATCACCATAAAGGTTGTCACTTGTTTTCTTGCTCTGTGCATCTTTGAAAGTGAAATGCAACTCATTTGTGCCCAGGTTATAGTAAAGTATAAAATGAAATACACCTAGGACCTAGGCCTCTTGCCCTGCTTTTAGCCTGCCCTGTCCCTCATGGAATGAGGTGACCGGTTTCTGAAAACCAAGGCTCTGAGGAGGCTGGGCTAGGAACGCTGTTCAGAAAAGCCATTGCAGAGAGGGCTTCAGAGTCTAAAGATGCTCCCTTGTCACAGATCCATGCAAATGAACCTCTTTTTCTTCTTCTTCTCTTATCTTTCAGGTGCGGGTAGGTCAAGACACTTATATTCACCTAAAAATATTCAAACCTCTTCCTCAGCAACAGGAGTCTTTGACTCTTACTGGTTACCAGACTGACAAAAGCAAAAACGATGAGCTGACGGGCTTTTAATGGCATGTTCCTGAGTGGTCGGATTCCTTCTACTGGCTACTGATGAATAATTCCTGCTAATAAATGCAAAACATTCCTTTTTGAATAAATACATCCTTTCAACTCTGTGTCTCTTATATTCAATAGTAATTACCTTTTCTTTCTCAAAATCATTGTTATTGCTTTAGAATAGAAATTCCATACAAATTGATGTCAGTTGGAAATCTTGTAAAAATCAGTCAGGCCTAAGCAACGGGCTAAAGGATATACCACCACCCCATCCCCATGACTGCCACCACCCCATCCCCATGACTGCCACCATAGGCAGCTACACCATGGGCCATCAGTGCCCTGTGGTTGCTGAGAATCTGACATTCCATCTCCCCTCTCACACTGTCGATTTAAATCAGGTATTTTACAAAATATATTTATATTTTGAAACAATCTCAAACTTACAAATAAGTTGCCAAAAAACCCACTTTTTTTTCTGGACATTTGAGAGTAAGTTACCTACAGTGCTGCCCCATAATCAACAACTACTACATTTTGCATTTCCTACAAACAAGTATAGTCTCCTGAATAACTGAAATGCAACAACCAAAATCAGGAAATTAACACTGATACATTTGCTTGCATCTAATCCCCAGATAACATTCAGATTTCCCTAGTCATCCCCAAAGTCTCCTTTATTGCAAAAAAGATCTAGTTAAAAACCATGTTTTTCATTTAATTGCCATTTTCTCTTTAACACCTTTATTGAAATATTCATCCAATTCAGTGATTTTTAGTATATTTAAAATGTGTGCAGCAATCACCACAGCCAATTTTGGGACATTTTCATCACCTCAAAAAGAAACCCCATATCCTTTATTAATTTCTTTAAGTATTTTTTTATTGATTTTTAGAGAGAGGAAGGGAGAGGGAAAGAGAAAGAGAAACATGGATACAAGAGCAGAACATAGATCGACTGCCTACTGAGGATCAAGCCTGCAACCTGGGTATGTGCCCTGACCGGGTATCAAACTGACAACCTTTTGGTGCGTGGGACAACATCCAACCAACTGAGCTACACAGGCCAGGGTAAACCCCATATTCTTTAGTTATCATCTCTTGTCCCCCACTCCTAAGCAACCACTAATTTAGTTACTTTCTGCTTCTATAGATTTGCCTATTCTAGACATTTCATATATATGGAAATATACAATACATATATGGTCTTTTATAACTAGCTTCTTTCACTTAGCATAATGTTTTCAAGGTTCATCCATATTGTAACCTGTACCAATATTGTATTCTGTTTTATGGCTAAATAATATTCCATTTTATAGATATTCTACATTTTGTTTATCCATTCATCATCTGATGAATATTTGAGTTGCTTTCACCCTTTGACTATTGTGAACAAAGATGCTATATATTTGTGTACAAGTTTTTGTGTATACATATGTTTCTAGTTCTCTTGGGTATGTATCTATGAGTGAAGTTGCTGCTTCATATGGTAATTCTATGTTCATTTGTTTGAGGAATTTACAGACTATTTTCCAATGCAGCTGCACCATTTCACATTCCCACCTTCAGTATATGAGGGTTTGAATTTCCTCACATCCTCATCAACATTTGTTCTTACCTGACTTTTTTGAGTCTCGTCATGCTAGTGGGTGTGGATTGTTATCTAATTGTGGTTTTGATTTGTATTTCTCCAATGACTGATGATGTCAACCATCTTGGCATGAACGTATTATACATTTGCATATCTTCTTTGGAGAAATTTCTATTCAGAGTCTTTGCCCATTTTTTGGAAGGCAGCTATGCTCACCACTATACCACCAATGCAGTCTCTCTTTTCCCATTTTTTAATTGGGCTATTTATCTTTTTATTTTTGAGTTGTGAGTGTTCTTTGCATATTCTGGATACAAGTCCCTTATCAGATATATGATTTGCAAATATTTTCTCCTATCTTGGATTGTGTGTCACTTTTTTTTTAAGGCTTAATAAAACTTTAGAGCTTTTTTATTTTCCTTTATTGATTTTAGAGAGAAAGGAAGGGAGAGAGAGAAAGGGAGAAACATCGATGAGAGACAACATCGATTGGCTGCCTCCTGCATGCCCCCCACTGGGGATTTGGCCCACAACCTGGGCATGTGTCCTGACCAGGAACCAAACTGGTAACCTCTTGGTGCATAGGTTGATGCTCAACCACTGAGCGACAACGTCTGGGGTGTGTTTCACTTCCTGGTGGTGTCCTTTAAAGAACAAAAGTTTTGCCCTGGCCGGTTTCACTCAGTGGTTAGAGCATTGGCCCACAGACCAAAGAGCTGCCAGTTGGATTCTGGTCAAGGGCACGTACCTTGGTTGCAGTTTGTCCCCGGCCCTGGTTGGAGTCGTGCAGGAGTCAACCAATCAATATGTCTCTCTCACATTGATGTTTCTCTCTCTCTCTCTCTCTCTACCTCCCTCTCTATCTGAAGATAAATGGGAAAATATCCCCAGGTGAGGATTTTTAAAAATTAAATAATAATAAAACAAATAATTGAAAAAATTCACTTCTAGTTTCTTGAGTATATTTTTTATCATGAAAGAACATTAGATTCGCCCTGGCCAGTTTGGCTCAGCGGTTAGAGCGTCGGCCTGCAGCCCGGAGAGACCCGGGTTCGGTTTCCACTAAGGGCACGTACTTCGGTTGCAGTTTGTCCCCGGCCCTGGTCGGTCGTGCGGGTGGCAGCCACTCGATGTGTCCCTTCGCGTCGATGTTTCTCTCTCTCTCTCCCTCCCACTCTATCTGTACAAAAAATGGAAAAATATCCTCGGGTGAGGATTAAAAAAAAAAAAAAAAAAAGAACAAAGAACATTAGATTTTATAAAAATTTATTATTCACCTATTAAAATGATCACATTTGATTTTTTTTTAGCCCATCCATACAGTATATTACATTAATAATTCATTGATTTGGGGATATTAAACCAACCTTACATTCCTAGAATGAATCCCATGTGGTCTTGGTATGTAATTTTTTTTTTTTCTTGAGGTTTTGTTCAGATAGAGTGGGAGGGAGAGAGGGAGAGAGAGAAACATCGACGTGAAAGGCCTAACCAGGGCTGGGGACAAATCGCAACAAAAGTACGTGCCCTTAGCAGGAACTGAACCTGGGTCTCTCCAGACTGCAGGCCAACACTCTAACCACTAAGCCAAACCGGCCAGGGCTAATTTTTTTTGTACTAGATTTGATTTGCTAGTAGTTGAGGGTTTTTGCATTCATGTTCATAAGAGATATTGGTATGTAGTTTTCTTGTGATTTTTTTTTTTCCTGGCTTTGGTATCTAAGTACTAGTGGTCTCAGAATGAGTTGGGAAGTAGTTCTCCCTCTTCTGCTTTTTGAAAGAATTTGTGTAGAATTGGTACTAATTCTTTAAATGTTTGGTAGAATTCAGCAGTGAAGTCATATGGGCCTGGGCTTTTTCTTTGTGGAAAGCTTTTATTTATTTATTAACAGTTTATTGATGTTTTAAGAGAGAAGAAGGGAGAAGGAGAGAGAGAGAGAGAGACAGAAATATCAATGTGAGAGCACAACATCCATCGGTTGCCTCCTGCATGCCCCCTACTGGGGATTGAGCCAGCAATCTGGGCATGTGTCCTTGACCAGGAATTGAACTAGCAACCTCCTGGTGTGCAGGATGATGCGCAAGCCACAGTGGGCCACACCAGCCAGGGCTGTAGGAAGCTTTCGATTATTAATTTGATCTCTTTACTTGTTATAGGTCTATTTAGATTGACTATTTCTTCTTGAGTTTATTTAATAATGTTTCTTTCTAGGAATTTGTCCATTTCATCTATATTATCTATTTTATTGGCATACGAATGTTCATAGTATTCCTTCCTTGGCCCTACCTAATGGATTTTGGCCTGAATTATTTAGGAAAGAGAGGGGAAGAAGAAGTGGAAGAGAGGGGAAAGAGAAAGGAGGAAATGGGGGAGGGGAAAGAGAAGAGCAAAAGGTGCCCTAAATAACATCTCCTCTGTGCTCTGCTGCTCTACTAGTGCCAACCCCTCTGTCCCCAAATAATAATAATAATAATATATTAAGTGCTTATTACATGCCAGATAGTATTCTGAAGACTTTACACATATAACTCACTTAATTCCTGTAATAACCTCATGAGGTAAATATTGTTATTATCGTCTCTTTACAGAAGTCTGTGTAGAGAAGTTCATATACTTGCCCAAGGTCTCATGGTTAGTTAGTAAAGTGAGGACATGATCCTAGACTGTTTGCCTCCAGGACTAATGCTCTTAACCCCTACATTCTACTAACACAAGCTCAGCTATTCTTACCCCTGAAGGAGATAAGTGGGAGCTTGAAACAGTGATTTTTAAAATAACCACTGGCAACTCTTAATGCTTCATAATAAAGAAACAGTCCTATTTATCTACCTTTAGCTCCTAGAACATAGACATTTAGTTCAATAAGTAAACTAAAAACTCTCCATAGTTTGGCTAGTATTGATGTAGGGCTCTTAGGTAATAGGAACTACCAGAGATGACCTAACGATCTAATAAGAATCCTTTCTGGCCTGGCCAGTGTGGCTCAGTGGTTGAGCATTGACCCATGCACCAAGAGGTTGCCAGTTTGATTCCCAGTCAGGGCACGAGCCCAGGTTGTGGGCCCGATCCCCAGTGGGGGGCATTTAGGAGGCGGCCAATCAATGTTCTCTCTCATCAGTGTTTCTATCTCTCTCACCCTCTCCCTTCCTCTCTCTCTAAAATCAATAAAGAAAGAAAAAAATTTTTTTTAAAAATTTCTGAGCAATGCAAACATGTACAAAATATATATAGCCATATACACACCACAGCTGCTCAACGATATACAAAACTCAATAATCAAAATAAGCCAAGCAGAAAAAAACAAATACCACATGATCTCACTTATATACGGAATATAATGAGCATAACAGTCTGAGGAATACGGTAGACCCAGAAACATGGAAGTAGGGCACAGACTGACATCCCTCAGAAGAGGGGGTGGGGGGGTGGGAAGAGATAAACCACAGAACTTATATGCATGTTTGCATGACCAATGGACATGGACAACTAAGCCGGGGATGGGGCGGGGGTGGGGTGGGGAGGGGGGT